ATGAAACTCTCGGATAAAAGTCGAAATAGGTAAAAATAGAAACGAAAAAAAAGAAATTTCCATCATTTGTATAATTGGCAAGAAATAGTGAGCCCACAAAAACCATAAAAAAGAAAACATAAGAAAACCACACGGAAAAGAGAAAAAAATAGAAAGGAAAAAATAAAAAGTTGAAAATAAAAAAAAGTGAACACATTGAAAAGAGAGCAACCACTTAACCCTGTTTCGTAACACAATGAAATGAAAAAATAAAAAAAAATTTTTTTCACTATTTTTACTATGCTTTCCTCTTCTCATTTTTACTCTCTCCCCGTCCCTTTGCGTTTCGGATAATACCCAAACATTCTATATAACAAAGCGATTATTATTGTTTGAAGGATTTTAATACCATCCTTTTTTTTCATACTCTCATTTCAAAATGAATTCTTCAAAATAATTTTCTATTTCCTTAATATTTTTTCATTTTCTTTATTTGTACTTAAGTGATTAACCCTGGTAACACTTCAAAATATTTTTCCTAATAAATTTAACAGAAAAAAAAAGGAAATTTTAACATTTCGCTTTTATTTTTAACGCTATATTTTCTATAATTAATATGAGTACTTTTTTCACTATTTTCCCCCTGTTCAGTTCAAGAGTTACAGTTTTTACGGTTATGTTATTGCAGTTCTTTTTATAATTTTTTTCTCTGTTTATAAATTTTCTCTAATTTAGGGTATGAAAGAAAAAGGATATTGTAATCGAGTATTTTTGATTTCGCTTTTTTTAATTTATTTTCTGTTGAAAACGCACATACATTTCAGTTTTGCATTATTTTGTTTGTTAAATATTTTTAGAAGGTCGTGATTTTTAACTATAAACGAATATAATATTTTGTGATACATTGAATATTTTGAATGGCCTTCTAAGTTTTATTAAAAAGAGAATGAATAACTTTTCATCTTTTTCAAAGGAAACTACATTTAAAATTGTAAAACATAAACAAATTTATTTATGTTTTACAACTACCACTACAACAATAATTTTCAACTTTTAAAATCAAAAACTTTTACAAAATTATATTTTCCTTTAATATTTTATTTCTATGTATAATTTTTCGCTTCGATTACGTTTATATACAGAGTGTGACCTTAAATTGTTCTTCAACGTAAATATGCCGTGTATAAATCTTTGTTTGCAAGAAACAAAATGGTCTACAAGGGCCAACTAATTACAAAGGTACGTCAAAATAGATTTTAAGATCAAAATTTTTAGCTGGCTTTATTGAAAATAGATTTGGCTGTGTGTGACATAATGGTACTTTAAAACAACTGGCTGAAAACGAGGAATAAATGCCCATTCCCTAAGTATACGGATACCGCAATAATTGGCAAATAATTTTTTACAAATATTTTTGATTTTTAAAATAATTGAAGTCCCCTAAGACTTATGGTATATCCCTTGAAAGATAGAAGCATATTGGTTATTAATTTTAGCTGCACGGTATTGTCCATCATTGCACTACCTCTAGGAATACCCTGTGTATATAATTTTTTTTTCATTATCCATTAAGTAATTTTATTTTCAAAATGATTCAGTGCCGTCTAATAGTCATAAAATAGCTATACACAAAATTCTTTATTTGTGTTAGTACCTATGCATATGTATAATGCTGTATGTAAGTATGTAATATGAAATTTATTTACAAAATTCAATAGAATAATATGAAAAAGAATGTTTAGTTAATTTAGTAAAGTCACGCAAGTCCTTCATTACACGAATTTTAACGATATTTCTTAAACACTATACCATAACCACTATACGATACCACAAGAATAGAGATACCAATTTGTTTTTAAATGGTATGGGAACACTTACAATACGAGCACGTATTTTAAAACCATTAAATATTTTGAATGGGGTAATAATATTTTTTTAAATTTCAATATTTAAATTAATTTTAAAAATAAAAATTTTCAATTATTAAATATAAAATTTTTAAGTTGTTTATTTTATAAGAGCTACGACCTATAATGGTATTTACTGACGCAATTGATTTGGTTCAATTTTAAAATTGACATAAAAAATTTTTCCAATTATTTCTTGAATAACACGAGGTGCAAATTGCATACTACTGCGTACTTACGGTAACATTACAAAAAATTATATTTGTTCATATCGTACAAAATTCCATGTATGTGTGTGCAATTAGATACTGCTTTCTCGTATTATCTTCTCCTAGTATGTAAATCTAGGAAGAGAGCTGTTCAAAAAACAGTCGAATAAACATTTTACTATTTCCACCTACTATTTTGAAAGAGTCTCAACTGCTCAACTTATTTCAAACTCAAATTATTTAGTAGACCTCCATGCCACAGCAATCTGGTTTTAAGTATAGAATTTAGCAAATTTTTTTTCAATACATTGTACACCCCTGTTTTTGTACATTCACATTAATTGATAATTTTTTTTTAAAAATTTTCAAAAAAAGGCCAATCAACCTTTAGGAAAATAATATCTATATTTAAATTTTTATGCTTCCATTATAATGACCAGTCCCAGTCTTTTGCTATTAACACGGAAACAGCATAATTATAGTAGATATTGTGTTTTTGTTTTATGTGAGTTCTTAATAATTATAAATAGAAAATAATCATGAAAATTTTTTATGAAAAAAAAAGAAAATGAATGGAAAATAGTAGACTACTCGTACATGTATAATTAAAAGAATATTTAAAACGAAAAATTTTAAATCATAAAATTGTTAGATAAGACTCTACATTTCACGTTTAAAACGTATAAAATTAAAGTAAACAATGTAAAATATTAAAAAATTTTCAATAAACGTAATAGGCATTGTTTCCAAATTACAAAAATTCTTAAATTTTTTCTCTTCAGTTTTAAAATATTTTTAAAGAAATAAAAAACAACATACATACATACATTCTAAACTTTATATGTATTCATATTGTAAAGTTTTAAACCAAATTTTTAACAGAAGAAACTCAAGGAATCAACAATATATACGAATACAATAATAATTTTTCCAATTTACACGCATAACCTAATTATAGGTCATATAAATACTTCAAAATCTGTAAGTACTTACTTTATTCCAGATGTATATATAATAAAAATGTCCACAACACCATTAATAAATATTGCAGTAATTTACACTTCAAGTAAAATATTAACTCTGTTTCCCACATCGCCATTCTTATAACCCTAATGTCCTCGTATATCAAAAAAATAAAAATTCAAACGGTCAGTAACCCAACATACGTACGATATATGTACATGAACACTGCCTTAATAAATTTTGTTCATTATATGAAGTAATATACCCTAATACATACACATACATATACACAATATAATTATATAATCAATTTCTGATTTATTATAAGAATTAAATTGAACGCTCAAAATGATTATAAGAAATTCAATAAAGAATATTGAACTGTTCAACAAATCTATATGTAATTCATTTCATAAAATTTAAGTTAACAAAATTGTAATCATTTATTATTTTCAAAAATAATTTTTCAAAGTTAAAAATAAAATTAAAATTTTCACTGTGTTTTTTTTTTGTTTTTACTCAATTCATTTTGAATAACATTATGACAAGGTCATTTATAATCGATTTTATTTTCCTCCTTTATTTTTATATTTATATCATACGACCCTATAACCTTTCATTCAAAAAAAAAAATTTTTATGTACATATTTTGGAGGGGCCATAAAAATTTTCTGATTATATAATTAATAAATTAAACTAATTAATCTTTTAAAAAAATGAAATTATGTGAGGGCGGTGGGTTTGATTATAAAATACGTCATAATTGCTTTCATCAATATTCAATTAAAGTATTAAATTCTTTTTTAAACTTATGGAAATTTAATTCAATCATATACAAAAAAAACTGTAGAAATAATCAAAATGTTATAAAAATAGCTCAAAAGTAAAAGAAAAATTGCTCAAAATTTATTTTATAATTTAATTTTAAATGTTTTTCATATTAATTTATGTAATCCTTTTGAATAATCTAGCTTTACGTATAGTTGAGATATAGATTAACATAATCTGTACATTTAAATGTAATAAAAATGTTATAAAATTTTTGATTTAAACAATAATGAAGAAGATTTTTAAAAAGAGAATTTGGAAAATGTTAAAATCAATACGAAAATTTTACAGCTCAAATGTTAACTCTGTGCAATAACATTGATTCAATATTTAATCGATTAAAATTGTAGTGGAAATTTTACAATATATCATATACTTACGTTTACTGTCATTGGCAGTAAATGTTCGTATGATTACTATTAAAACTTTCGTATGATTAATATTGAAATGCTTGTTTGATTATACTTAATACTTTATTTTAGAAAAAACATAAAAATAATGAAATTTAAGTTGTGAAGCACTTAGAAGAAAGCCTATTATATAAGCATCTGTTAAGCATTTAAAGGAACGGAACCTTATTATGGAGTTTATCCTGAAAAATAGATTGAAAACGCAAATACATCTTTCGATTTGGCTGTATTGAACGATTTAGATGAAGAGGGTTTCAAGTGATTATTTTTTTTGTAAAAATCGATGTTTTAATATTTTATTGAATTATCACTGTTATATATTCCAGATAAACAAATAAATTAATGAAAAAATAAAAATAATTATAATTTTAAAATTCTTACTTAAATACCTTCCTTATCTAACGAACTTCTTAATCTAGTAGTAACAATTTTAATTAGTTTCATTTTACTTTTGTTAAATTAGTTTCATTTCACTGATAAAAGCGAACAAAATTCATTCATGTTTGACTACAATTACAAATTTTTAAAACGATAACTTTCTGCCATAAATATTACAAACAAAAATTTTTAATTCATAATAAAAATAAAGCGATTACCTAAGTCGGCATTTAAAGACTAAAAATTTCTCCCCACAAAATACTCATATTCTATTACAGAATTTTAACAGAAAAAAAATATTTCAATATATTTGTAGTTTTACTTACCGCACGTGCATCACATGGATTCGAAATTATTCCGAATATCACCAGGATCAAACCAAAATATTTTCCACGATTTTCCATCATCAAAAAGTTTCTATGTAATAACATTATTTTTTTTTCTTCCTTTTCTTATTTTTCGAAAATAAATTCAAAATTCTTCAAAAAATATTCAAAGAAGGATAAAATTACAAAAAAAATTTTTTATTAAAAAAAAAATACAAATAATTTTTTTTTTATTTTTTTTTTGTATTTTACACAATTTTTGCTTCTTAATTTTTTTTTCTTTTTTTATTCTACTTTTAATATTATTTTAGAACTCTTAAGCACTTTTAAGGATCATCATTTCAAAAATTCTCTAATCATTCTTATTTTCCTTATTATCTTAAAATACCAACTGAAATATTTTTTCTGAATGAAAAAGAAAGAAGAAAATTTTTAATTTTTCTATTTTAACAAAAATTTATTTGAGAAAACAAAAAAGAACAGAAAATAATAAAAGAAAAGAAATTTTTTTTATGTGTTTTTTTAGTCAATTTTTTATTGTTAAATTCTTGTGGTAGAAATTTCTCTAAGAAAAATAACAGTAGCAATAAAGAAATAAAAAATTTTAGGAATGATAAAAAAAAATGAAAAAGATTAAAGAACATAAACGGACTCAACTAAATTCGTACACCACTATAACCAAGGCAAAAAAAATATGAAGGCAAAGAAACGCATAAGAAAAACACAGAAAAAAAAACAAAAATATTATTTTTTAAAGAAAAACACAACACTTTTCTTATGGAAACATTAAAAATTTTTTATGACCATGACCCGAAAATAAAAACAATATAAAAACCAAAAAAGAAACAAAAACGAAAAAATAAGAAATGAACACACAAAACGGATATTCAAGGACTCAAAAATAATTACGAAATTCTTTCGTCTTTTTCGTCTTTTGCCTTTTTTTTCTCTTGTTCTTTTTTTTAACTTTTCTTTATTTTAATACTCTTACTTTCTTACTGTTATAAAATAAAAATAACTGATATTTTTTTTTATTATTTATTTTTTTGATTAATCTTAATAAAATTCAGAAAAATTTCCTCTCAACTTCTACTATCAAAAATGAATTGAAATTCTTTGTCCCCTTGTGTTTTTACTTTATTTTTTTTTTCAAATGTTTGTTCACAAATGTTAAATAATTAGAAACCGTTGTCTTAAAAAAATTTTCACAATATTTTTAAAAGAGAGAATATAAATGAGAGGAAAAAAATTAAAATCAAAAAATTCCGACGTCAAAATGTTTTTTTTTTTTTTTTAATTTTTTCAAATTTTTGTTTTCCTCAAATTTTGTTTTTTCTTTATTATTTATTTTAACCGCTTCTTACGAACTGTTCACTTCAAGAGACACGGAAGTTCTAACAGAAAATTCACATTATAAAATTAACTTAAATCGAAAAAAGAAGAAAAAAATCATCAACAAAACAAAAAACATAACAGAACAAAAAGAAAGAGGAAAGGAAAAAAAGAACAATAATAAACAAGAAAAGTACAATAACAACAACAATAGTAAATGAAATGAGAAACAACGTATAGACAATTGTCCATGCTGTCAGTACATTTTTTTTATTTTTATTTGTTTTTCTCCCGATATTTTCCCACACTTTTTCTTTAAACCTCATATAGATATACATATAGAGTAGTACGTATATTATTATGAAAAATGTTAACCAAGAGAAAAACAAACAAACTTATGGTAAAAAAAAAATAAAACAAAAAAAAAAGGATTCAATTAACAAAGCTGTTATATATGTGTGTGGTGTACTTGCTTTACGAAAAGGATGTTTTCAACTAATATTTTATATTTTTATAAAGGAAAACATCAGAGAGAGAAAACATGAATTGTAAAAATTTTGGGAAATTTTTTATGTTTTTTTGATATAGAAAGAAAAAGCTTTTTTATTTTCAGCTTTTGGGAAATTTTTCTCTCATTCTTGAAAGCTTTCAATGTAAAATAAATAATAACTATTTTAAAAACATGTGCATAGTTTCCGACAATGTGTTGATTTTTTTATGTTTAAAAATTTGTAGTAGATGTAAAAAATGAAATTTAATTACTTTTTTTCAGTGTGTTCGCACTAATTCAGAATATCTTCATTCTGTAAATGAAATTGTACAAATTTCTGAAAAATATAAAAATTTCACTACAAAATACTGTGATCTTCGAACAGCTATAATTCCTGATGGCCTTTCTATATGCAAATAAATTCCAGTAGTTGTCTTTTTCACCACAACTTTGACGTTAGTCTTCCAATTAACTTAGAATTCAAAATTAAGCACAACAACTTAGGCTCCTGGGAAGATGTCAGTGTAGTTTCTCCACGTTTCGAGAAAATAATACTCGTTTACCTTATATTTATCTCATACTAATGATGACTAATTCTATTTTCTGTAATTTCATTGTAAATTCATGTAGCTGTCTTTAGCAAGGGTATGACCAAAATATTTTATTAAAATACAGAATAAGCAGTATAGTATATGATCGTATATGAACTTAGTACGAAATCAAAATATAACAATATTTCAATTTCCCGCATTAAAATCCATAGATTAAATTAATAACAATAGCAGCCAAACTGCACCAATTCCATGTACATTTCAAAAAATGATTTCGAATATTTTAAATTCATTGTCATACTTAGAATTTCTAAAACGGAGTAGTTTTAGAAACATGATTTATCGAAAATCTACCATAATATTTTCTCCCTTAATCATGTATTATGAGCCTCTGAAAAAACTTTTTAAAGAAATTATTTAAAAAATTTTTAATTGTTATTCAAAATTTAGGAGTCAAATCTATAAGGAATATAGGGTTCGACCTACTAAAATTTCAATATTAAGAAAAAATTTTTAATCATATTTTAGGTCAGTTTTTCCCATTTATCTTTCCATCTTATTTATAAACTTTCCCATATCATACTAAAATTTCATATCCTAACAATTTGTTTTACAATATTTCCTTATAATACACAATATCCTTATTGAATATACAATATCCTTATTGAATATTTCTTAAAAAACAACAAAAAACAAAACAAAGTTTTTTATAAATAAACCTGATACTGACTTTTAATTTAAATTAATAATTGATGTGATCAAAAGATTTTATAAAATTTTCAATTTTCCTAAGTGTATCCAAAAATTATAATAAAGATAACAATAATAAAAATAAAACAAAATTAAATTTTCTTTTCTTTTAACTTTTACAACACAATAATAACACACAAAATACAATAATAAAAATTTTAATTCAATATTCTTATGAATTTTGAATAACCTTTGGATTTCCATTTAAATGTCACCTAAAAATTACATTATTAAAATATATAAAATGAAAATCGTATTAAAAAATTGTTTCTGTTCAAAAAAAGAAAAAATATGCCTAAAATAAAGTGATTTTCTTTAATCCTTTTAACATTATACATTTACAATAACAAAAAGCAAATATCCTTTTCAAATTTACAGTATATTCAAAAGACACATCATTCCATTTATACCATTTTCTTTTTTGATTTTTATTTAATTTTTAATTTCCTTTAACCATCATTACCCTCATTTACTCACACTCAATAATCCTGACCATCATTTTGTAAATCAAAAAAAAAGAAAATAAACAGAAAACAAACACCTTTTCGACTTTCGATTCTCTCTTTATTATTATCCTTAATCATTGTATTTATATTTTAAAAATTAAATATTATTATTCTTGGAAACACACTATCTACGATAAGAGGAGAAGAATATGTGCTGATAGGAAGAATATGTTCTGACATGTGTGTGTGTTTGTGTAAAATAAATATAGACTTTAAAATTTAATACGGTATCCTTATATTTATTTAAAAAAAGAGATTTTCCGTAGAAAAGAAAACAAAATTAATAAAAAATTTAATTCGTAAATTTCCAACTTTGAATTTTTCTTATAAAAAGGACATTATCTTTCTTTCATTTATAAAAATAAATACAAAAATTTTTTGTTATTGCAACACACTTAATTCTTGAATACAATTTTCTTCCTATATCCTTTTTTTCATTGTAAAAGAAAGAATCTTTAAATGAAAAAAAAAAAACTCATTTCAATCAACGTGTCGATAAATATTTTATCAGTCGACAAAATGTAAATACAGGAAATACAGGGAACATTTTTAAGAATCTCAAATTAAAAATGTTAAATTTTTAATTTACAATCCTATGCTATCAGTTCCCTTCTTATCAAATCCCAAGAGATTATAAATTTATTGTATTTTTCAGAAATATTTATTGACTATCTGCTGGTAACCACAGAAACTTTCGGTAAAAATTATAATTTAATTAATTTCGGACAATTTTCGTTAAATATAACCAAATTAAAACTAGCTTTACACGAATATGACCTGAAATTTATCAAGCCAAATACTTTGATGTGCACATAGTTTTCGACCCAGTTACGAAATTTTCAAAATTTCTTGCCAATAAGCCTAAAATTTGAAATTTTATCAAAATATTTTCAATTATTTTATGTAAAACGAAAACAAGTTACAGATTTTTTTTTTAATAAACCGGTTGACGACATTAAAAAAAACCAAAACGCTCAATGATCGTATACTTATCGAACTTCACATAATCAACTACTTCCTATATGAAAATATAATAAAAGAATATCCTCTAAAATGAACAGGACTAAAATTGTGTAAACAAAAATTAAAATTGTAAAATAATTTTCCAAATTCGTTTATGAGCGAAATTTTTTCCATTAGTTTCACAATAATCGAAAAATATGACTAAATGGTAAATAAACCAATAAAACTGGTAGTATCTTAATTAGAGTTGTAAGTATATTTGGTTTCAAATCACAAAATGCAAAAAAATCAAAGCCTATACTGACATGTACCAATATAATATTTTCAAAATAGGTCTAGAAACACAAAACTATTTTTCTTTTATTCTCACTTATTTGTAAGAGTTCCTAATACAGGTGAAGAGCAATACCAGAGAAAGATAACTGAGGTTATTGTCAGAATATACCCTTTTCAATTTTCTTGTCCAATTTTATAATTTTCTCAATTTTTATTTTTTCTTCTCTTATTTTCCTTACTTTCTTTTTCTTCCTTTCAAATTGCCATGTCCTTTGTGATTTTATTTTAAATTTTTCTTTACGATTTTCCTCCTATACTTTAATATTTTCCTTTAAAATACAAAAAAGAACACAAAATTGTAAAAATAGGACTTTACTTACATGTTTGAAAATTTTTATTTTCTTCTTTTACTTGTTAAACAATTTATATAGTCGAAAAAAGGACACAACAAAAGAAAATTGTTTTGTTATATTGAAGTAAGCAATTTAATGATGAGTAAATATATCATCAGTTTTGTACAAAACACACATATATGTACATACACATGTAATACAATATAATTTATTTGTTTTGGACTTATGCTTTACAATTTAAAGGATAACATGTATTTTACTCTAAATGTAAGGAAACTATTTCTATATATGTATGTATTATTATCCTTATGTATAACAACAAAATTTAATCGATTCAGTTCATTCTTATAAAGGACAAAAAATAATGAAAAAGACAGAGACAAAGGTGTATAGGTGTTGGAATAAAAAAGAAGAAAAAATTCCATTAACACTTTCAAATATTGTTAAAAAAAAATTTTTTTTTTGTCTTTTAAATGGTTGCTCTATAAATTTATAAATTGAAAAGGATATTACAGGATATTGAAGGAAATATTGAAGATAAATATTTATTTTTATTAGTAGAGTTTCTCTATACATACACAAAGGAAATGATAGATGAAAAACTCTTGCTTAAAAAAAAATAATATTACAATTCGAACTTTGAATATTTTAATAAAGTGAATTTTGAAATAAATTTATTGATGAAACTGGATGAATAAGAGGAAAATATTGGGATTCACTAATTAATAAAATTAGATCAACATAAATTAGTATGTAAATTTTAATTAGTTCACTTAACTCACTCCAGAAAAACTCAAACAGTTTAAAATAGTTTTCATAATTCTGAGAGATTTCCAGTTTTGGACCGTTCAAATAAATTTTTAAAAATCTTAATTCTTTCTATGCTAACAGAGCCAGCGTCTATTCTCATTTTAACGGATTTTTCCAAAAAACCATCTGCTTCAAAACAATTTAAAAATATTTTTCAATTTCTCACAAAGCACTTTCAATTCTTCTAGTGTTTTCAAAAATATTTAGCACAAAGACATTTCCAAATGACCAAATTTACCAAATATTAAAGTATGAATACTACTTAATTACATTTTCTCTTCATTTTCGATCATGAATAAAGAAATTACTGGTATTACAATAATGAAATATCCTTGTTAATAGAAAAACATTTTAATTATATTTAAAAATTAATCGTTCC